ACTGACTGATGCGATCTTGTGTTGGTAATTTATTCTGACAAGCCATCCACATGCAAAGAGCATGTTTAGGTACGTATGCTTTATTCCATACCACCTTGTACCAATGCACAATCGGCCCCACTTCTTGAACAGTTTGCCATGCCACTTTGACCTCAAAATTTCACCGAGAAAGTTTAGCATCAAGCCATCGACCGTATCCTCCATTTGGCTGGGAGAAGGTATCATAATACTTTGCAGCTGAGGGTATTGTTGTATCCATTCCACCAGCCAATTAGTGCCAAAACGTTGCATTACATCAGAAACCGTGGAGTTATTACGAAAGCCATGACCATTTATGAATCTATAAGACAGTCAGTGAATAAGGAGACCAAAGTCACTCCACGTATCTTCCCAGGCATGCGTAGATAAACCATTTCCCACATTGTAAATAAAAAATCGCCTGCAATGAGATCTTAAGTCTAAAATGCTCCGGAGAATCCACGACCATTCATTCCTCTTCTTGATTACCCAAAATTTTCTGCCCCGAATACAATGAGACTGAATCCAAGAGACCCACATGGTATTTCTGCGAGTCAGAATGTCCCAAATATGTTTGAAAAGTAAGCACCGATTCCAAATCGCTAGTCTTTTCATACCAAGACCCCCATTTTGAATAGGCAAGCAAACCCTATCCCAAGCAACTCGACATTTTCCCAGCTCACAAAAAATTACGAAACAGCTGCTCAATTTCATGGATTGTGGTTGCCGGTATTAGAAATACCGACATCCAATATGTAACAACCCCAAATCCATACATTGCATATAACACATATTTCATACATAGAATACATGTTTTCCCCACAAAGGTCCATAATACAAGAGTCTATAACGTGAAATACATAACTCAAAAATTCAAAAAGTACATGCTCTTGTATCCTAGCATCTATGCTCCAAAAACATAGCTAATTAAGATCTTCACACAATAGGGAAGTGATTCACATAATGCTCTTTCCCTTATTATCATTACCTGCACACATATTTTTGAAAACACAAAAATGAGGGTTAGACATGTATGTCTAGTGAGGTTCCCATTTTATGTAATGCAGGGTGAAGATCACCAAAACATTAATTTCAGATAATTCATTCCATGTAGTAAAGGCTGAAAATCGTATTCTGTTTCAAAACACTTTTAATCAAAATCAATTACCATAGGCCATATTTTCCGTAACCATAACATCAATATTATTATTTCTAATAAGAACAATATCTCTGAATCCTCAAATCACCAAGAAGTGAGAACTCCAATCTGTTGTAATCTTAAAAGATATAATAGCAATAGTTATACCATGCACACACAACGACCATCCTTATTACATCCATAATTTCCCCTTTATAGCAACAGCTATCCATCGCACACAATGACCATCCTTATTTCCCCTGAAAATCTTATGAACTATTTCATCCAATGACAGGCTGCAGGCATAACTGTCAGAGTGAACCTCGTTCATAGTTTGAACCAAAATCTATAGACTATTTCATCCAATGACGGAAAAAAGTCATATACGTCAGAGTGAACCTCGTCTATAGTTTTAACCAATCATAATCTCAAAACAGGTTTATATTCAAAACCTTTCGAGTCTTAGAACAATCTGTTTTGTAAATGATTTCTCAAATCATCTAATCCTCTTTAAATCCTCAACACAGGATATCAAATCCAACGCTGCTTTTAAAACATAGTTTATGCTTTAATATTTTCCAAAACAGATTCAAACTTCAGAATCACAAAATATTTCCTTTAAAACTTAAACAAAATAGTTTTACCAAATTCTTTTAAGTTTCAAACCATCAATACTCAAAAGCTTACAAAATCWAMAGTAGATATAAACTCACGGTTTGTAAACAGATCGTAGTTCAAAAACTCACAAGTTATATCAAAACAGTAGTTAAACTCACGGTTATATCAAAACAGTAGTTAAACTCACGGTTATATCAAAACAGTAGTTAAACTCACGGTTATATCAAAACAGTTTTGTCCCTTCATTCAATACCTGTCTTATAGATTCATAAATGGCAAGGGATTTCATAATAACTCCACGGTATCTGATATAATGCAACGTTTTGGTACTAATTGGCCGGTGGATTGGATTCAACAATATCCTCAGCTTCAGAGTGTTCTGATTCCGTCTCCCAGTCAAG